AGAAAACTTTATGAAGCAGTTACACAAGAAGAAATAGACAACCCAAATAGTCCTATAACGTTTAAATAAATACAACCAGTGGTGAAAAAAAAAACAAACCATGTTTTTCTAAAGAAAGGTCTAAGACCAGTGGATATATTGATCGATTATACCAAATTTTCTTGGAAGAAAGGATTTCCTGTTCACGGATATTCTTTTAGAGACTAGAATGAGAAGATTTGCTCTCGAACTTGTTTTATGTGAGTAGCTTAACACAGGCGCCAGCATCTGACAAGGGCATGGGAATGATTCGTTGCAGGCCAGTCTCTTATGGAAACGGAGGCAATATCTTCCGCAAAATCTTCTCGAAGTGATCCGCGCAGTATGCCAGGGGAAGATGCGCTGTGAACAAGGGCGTAGTCTAAGCGCGTTATGTTGATTTAAGTCTATAATTCTAAATATTAGAACACGGTGCATGGCATTCACAGAGTGAAAGGGAAAAATAATGTGATCAGCTCAGTAAATGCAGAAATAAATGTTTGATGAAATTTAACATCATAAATCCAGAAGAGCTGTTTGATGCAATTTAGCATCTATTCATGCCATAAAGTTCTTAACTGTCAATAAATGCATTCTTCCCTAATTTCATAAATGGTTGTATGGACAGCAGCGGCTAGCAACGTGGTTAAAGCAAACAGTCATGAACAAGGGATAGGAGAAGCTGCCCCACCTGGCGAGGGACCAGGACAGGCTCTAGGAGGCCACCGAGGCCCAGGCGCCCCCAGGAGAGGCCAGCAGCCGACGCTGCCGAGCACAGGAGCAGCAGCCCCAGGACTCTGGGCCCTGTGGGGACAACATGCCCTGCGCAGCCTGGCGGGGGACGCGGCCCCAGCAGTGAGGGCAGGTGTGCAGGGTGGGCACCGCCCTGCCCTGGGGACCCCACGCAGGGGAATCTGTGACAGCGTCCGCACGTGGAACAGCCCCGCGGGGCAGGGCAGATGGATGGAGTCGCTGCGTGACTTGTGCTGAGAGGAGGTGGGGCTTGTCCGGGCCACACGGCTGGTGCAGAGCCTGCAGACGTCTCTGTCCCTGCTGCCTCCCCGTCTTCCAGGCCGTCTTTCCCCAGTGATGCCTCCCTAACCTGGAGGGTTTCTCTGACCTTGTGTGTCCCTCCTTGTCCGTCCCCAGAGCCCAGGGCGGTGTTTGCCAAGGAGCAGCCAGAGCACAGCGAGGTGCGGGCCGAGGCGGGGGCCAGCGCCACGCTGAGCTGCGAGGTGGCCCAGGCGCAGACGGAGGTGACGTGGTACAAGGACGGGAAGCAGCTGAGCGCCAGCCCCCAAGTGCGCGTGGAGGCAAAGGGGAAGCAGAGGCTGCTGGTGGTGCCGCAGGTGGGCAGAGCGGACGCCGGGGAGTACAGCTGCGAGGCCGGGGGCCAGAGGGTCTCCTTCCGCCTGGACGTCACAGGTGGGTCCTTTTGGCTGGCGAAGTGGCCTTGTTTGGAGATGTGGGCTCCGGGCGCTGCATGGTCCGTGGGATCCTGGGTGGTGGCCCATGCTGCTGAGCGTTGGACAGGGTGGCCTTGGAAGGGCAGTGGGGACTGCAGGTGGTCCCCTTCCTGGTTTCCTCTACCGCATGCGCAGAAGGGGAGCGGCTCCCCGGTCAGCACTGCCGGGGCCCCTGCTCTGACGCCAGCTGTCCTGCCCCAGAGCCCGAACCTCAAGTTCCAGAGAGACCTGGCCACAGGGAGCCTCTGGTGGTCAGGGAGCATGAAGACATCGTCCTGACTGCCACGCTGGCCACACCGTCCGTGGCCGCGGTGACATGGCTCAAGGATGGCGTGGAGATTCGCAGAAGCAAGCGGCACGAGACGGTCAGCCTGGGGGACACCCACACACTCACGGTGCGTGGCGCCCAGGTCTCAGACAGCGCGGTCTACAGCTGCCGTGTGGGTGCCGAGGGCCAGGACTTCCCGGTGCAGGTGGAAGGTGAGCTTGGGGGCGGTGGACGCCCCAGAGACCCCTGTGCCCCAAAGCCAGGCAGGGGGGAGCTCAGGGCACAGGGGCTGTGTGGGCAGAGCCGCAGCTGACATCCTCTTGTGCTTGCAGAGGTGGTGGCCAAGTTCTGCCGGGCCCTGGAGCCCGTCAGCGGGGAGCTGGGCGGCACGGTGACGCTGGCCTGTGAGCTGAGCCCTGCACAGGCCAAGGTGGTGTGGCGCTGCGGGAGCGCACAGCTGCGGCCTGGCAAGCGCTTCCAGATGGCGGCCGAGGGGCCCCTGCGCTCGCTCACCATTTCCGGGCTGCGCGCGGAGGACGCGGGGGAGTACGTGTGCGAGAGCCGTGACGACAGCACCAGCACGCACCTCACGGTCAGCGGTACGCAGGCGCTGGGGCATGGGGCCTGGGCGAGGGTGTATTCCCAGGTGGCTTCCTGGAGGAGGTGTCCTTTCTCGCTGGGCGTGCAGGGCAGGCCGCACCCCTCCTGCCTGCCTGCCTGGGGGCTCTAAATCAGACCTCCTTCCTGTCCACAGTGCCCCGTGTGGTCAAGTTCACCTCGGGGCTGAGTCCTGTGGTCGCGGAGGAGGGCTGCGAGGCTACCTTCCAGTGCGTGGTGTCCCCCAGCGATGCGGTGGTCACTTGGTACAGGGAGGGCGCTGTGCTGCAGCCCAGTGAGAAGTTTGTCATAGCGCAGAGCGGCGCTGGCCATAGCCTGACCATCTCGGGCCTGGTGCTGGAGGACTCGGGCCAGATCACGGTGGAGGCAGAGGGCGCCTCCTCCTCCGCTGCCCTGCGGGTCCGAGGTGAGTGTGGGGACAGCGGTTTCTCGCAGTGGGAGCCTCCCTGGTGGGCTGGTTCCAAGTTGGCGCGTGCCCTGCTGGTCTGGTTGGTCCAGCTGACCTCAGGGGACAGGAGGTCTGGTTGGCTGCAGAGAAGAGGAGATCTGTGTGGGCCTGAGGGGCCGGGTGTCTTCTCTGGAAGGGAGAAGATACAACCCTGCAGGCACACCCGGCAGGGAATGGCAGAAGTTGGGCGGCCCGGGGAGGCTTCCTGGAGGGGGGCCCATGCTGAGCCCCGTCGATGGCAGGGAGGGGGCTGAGGGTGGCAGCCAGTGCACTTCTCATGCTGCTGAAGCCGAAGAGCCAGAACTTCACCTGTAGGAAAGCGGGAGTCATGGCAGGTTCTTGAGTGAAGCGGTGATACAGGCAGATGCACCGTGTGGGGAGATCAAGGAGGCATCTTAGAGCTCAGAGGCCCACCAGAACCTGTTTTTCACGTCTTAACATGCACATGCGACCCGGAACTTTGTTGAAGCACAGACACGTCTGGGGGTTTCCAGTACGCCTGCCTCTCCGGGTTCGGCGAACCCAGTGCTGCTGGCCAGGCCACACTCTGGCGTTCCAGGCACTGGGCCTTGTTCAGAGCAGGGCGGCAGAGGGGGGGCGGGGGCTGGGAAGGGAGCCTCTCTGGGCCCATGAACTCGTACAGGCGGCCGGTGCCTGTGCGTGGGCACAGCCGAGCCCAGCCTGGAGCTGGAACGGCGGAGGCGGGGCGCCCTCTGTGCCTGGCTTTCCCGAGGTGGGGGTGGGCGACGGCCGCCCTGACCGCCGCTCTGCCGCCGTGCCAGAGGCGCGGGTGCTGTTCAAGAGGAAGCTGGAGCCGCAGACGGTGGAGGAGCGGAGCTCGGTGACCCTGGAGGTGGAGCTGACGCGGCCGTGGCCCGAGCTGCGGTGGACGCGGAACGCGGTGGCCCTGGCGCGGGGCGA